TTGTTTAAGCTGTGGCCATATGTTAAAATAGCACAAATCAAATTTTGTTAATAGAAAAAATTCTATAGTTAGAAATCCGGCATCATAACAAAACTCAAAATAATTAATTATGTCTTTGTTAAAGCTGTCGCCTATAATTTTAAAACAAAATTTTTTTATATTGTAATATAATTAAATATAATTTCCCAACACTGAATCGCAAAACCTTTAAATTTTTTTTTGTCATTTTAAGAAATTTTACTAAATATTTAATACATTTTAATTTATTTTTTTATTAAAGCGAGTTACGTTAATAGCACAATTTCAATAGGTGGCAACCTTAAGTCACAACAAACACTAAAATAAGTTGTATTTTATTTAGTTTTTATATATATACAATAATATAATTTTTACTAAATATTTGATAAAGTATTAAAATGGCATAAGTCGACTTATGTTAATAAAGAGAATTTTACAATTGTCTGTCGAAATTGTTCAAGATTCAACGTTGTGCTTCAGTTTAAAAAATGGTTTGAAACTTTTCGCTTCCAGCTACAGTTAAATAGGAACAAAGTGTATATCATATATATAAATGCATGTATCAAATGTTGTACCAAAAATAAAAATAAACCAATACTAGCTAAAGTCGATATAAGCTCTTTTAGCACCTTAAATATTATATATATATATATATATATATTATATATATAATATATATTGACTATCGTTGCTTTTGAATTATTTTTATTTTCCTGCTTTTTTATACAAATCATTATAATAAAAAAATATTCAGCAATTAAATAAAATGGCAACCCTGCGCATGAATAAATAAATTTATTTATTGCGATCAAAAAATTTTAGTCTTTGATAGATTTTTATTAAAACAAAATATATTATTCTGTATTATATTAAATTGATTATTGTTTAATTTCGAAATCATTTTATTAGTTACTTTCATCAGTTTTCTTAGAATAAAATATAAATATTACCAAAATACAAATTAGCTGGCAACTCTGTTATAAAGTATTTATGGAATTTAACATAATTTTTCTAAATTTGTTTAGCTTCGAAAAACACAATTTGTCGAACACTATAATATATTTTTTTTAGAATTGTTTTCTAAAAATTACCTAGCAACTCTGTTGCAAAGTATTTATGTCATTTTACATAATTTTTCTACATTTGCTTAGGCTTTGAGAAATTTTCTTGAACACTGAAGTATAAAAACACAAACATTTGTTTTTAAATCCTTGAATCACCCTGTTCCATAGCAAAGTAAGCTCCATATCCAAAACGAACCGTTTATACAATAATATATACAATTAATATATAACCCCCAAATGCTGTCACGACAGCTGCACTTTAAAAAACTGTTTAAGACACATTCAATGCAATTATGACGAACAACAGCAACAACAGCAACAACAAAACCACTTAATTACGAACAATCAAGACTTAAATTAAGCATGACACAATATTAAAACTCCCCACATGACAAACGAGCTGCTTAAAACGGCGCAGCGTACAAAGGGAAAACTTGTCACGTGCATGTATATATATTTGATATGTCATAATACAACGGAGTCGAATACACATATATATATTACCTGTGGCAATATGACACGACAACTGGTGTTGTGAATCTTATTGTGAATAAGTTTATCAAATAAGAAATTCTTACAAACTCTTTAAGCTAAATTAGTTTGAAGACTCCAAATATGTATGTAATCTCGCTCGTCTATATTTGCATTACTCCAAAGCGATTACGCATTGAATCAGTGAACAATGCGCCTAGTTGCAACAAAAGAATACAGTTATATGGTGCTCTTAGAATTTCAATAACTGCATCAGTCAATTGTGAGTACATCTAATATTTTTCGTTTGAACTACCCATACAGTTATGCGCCATCAAAGCACTAGTAACCCAGCAGCAAAAATTGAAGTGGTTATAAATAAAAAAGTTTTTTTTTCAGTAAAATTATATTAAATTAAGAATGTAGAAATTATATGAGTCTGCGTAATCGAGGTGTCAAAAAATGAAGCAATTTTATGCAATTCAGAATACGCCAATACGTCACAAAAGTTTGGCAAATTGAAAAAAGGCAAGAGTTTATTATTCAAAATTATCTGCTCAGAATTTACTTGGACTGTCAAACATATTTTTTCGACTTCTACTCGACATCGTTTTTACAAATGATTCGTGCCTTTGGGTACTAGTCTAGCATTGACACGATTCATACCCAAAACTTTAACCAAAATATAAGGTCGATGCACAAGAAATGTTGTTCTATCTCCCTGATGCCAACACGACGATTTTCAAGTATTTTCTTCATTAACTTTTTCGATATTATACTCATTACCAGAGTTGGATGGACGACTCATATGAGGAAAGTTTTCGATATGCCACTCAAATACTTGTGTTCGTGATAAAGTAGACTCCCCAAACCACTTCCAACGATTCCGTAGTCATGATTCCAATCGAAACACAAAATTTCAAAAATGCTCGC